GGTTTATAATCATATTTACCTACATCAGCTTTTCGGAAGAATGCCGTACCTGGTAAGTAATTGCACTTTTAAAACCCTTGTTAGCCTGCCTATTGAGTATCTAGTAGAGTAGATAGCGACGAGCTAAACAGCTGATTTTCGTTTTCATTCTTAGTACACGTGGAAAGAGATAGCAATTGTTTTCATTGACTAAGCGACACATCGCGCGTAATTTGTAAACCACATTATGCAGAATGTAGTCAATGTTTACTTAATTACTTTATGTAATTAACTGGTCCGGGGTACGAAATTTCTTCACAATTGTAATCTGTAAACATAACACTACCTCCCATTAAAGCCGTGGCTAATAATTATAGAGCACCTTATATATGTCGTAGGATAATTTGATACTTCGAATCTTCGCGGAAATCCTAGGGGTTTTGCGAAAACGCGGATAATTAGACATAGGCGAAAAATTATCAAATCTTACTGGACAAAGTCAGGATTTTTGCGAAAATACTCGTTACTATAGTAAGATTGCGAAACGAAACGCTGGCTGTTATGAAATAAGAACGCTGATTGGTCGGTCAGCGCGTTCAATAAGAGATCGTCTCTGATTGGTTGACGTCTTAAATGTCACATCATTTGTTGCCGCACGTTATTTGTTTACGTTTGTGTCTGAGTTAAATTGCAGAAGTGTTTTGTTTTTTATCGTAAATAGTGTACCTACTTGGACTTAAATAAAGTTGTAAATAAAAGTGCTACACGGATGTACATAGTGTCATATGTCATAAAAGGTGCTCAATACTTTTGGCCAAGGCTGTAGGTAGTGAAGAAGGCTTCCTAGAAGAGGAGCTCATGATTTTTGAGGCAAAGAAAAATTGTAAAGATTACCATGATGAGATGAATGCAGCTTGTTTTGAGGAGTGGTTCGCTGGAGTTTTACCAAAATGAAGACCAAACTCAATTGTGGTGATGGATAATGCACCTTACCACTCCCGAAAATTGGAAACGGCACCAAAAATGAGCTGGAAAAAAGTTGCCATTCAAAATTGGCTTTTAAATAAAAATATTCATTACGAACCAGATATGATTAAAGCTACGTTTTTAGAACTGATTCCATATAACGAGTATTTTAATAAGTACGCTGTAGACGAAATGGCAGCACAACATGGGATCACGGTTTTAAGACTGCCCCCTTACCATAGCGAGCTAAACCCTATCGAATTGATTGTTTTCAACCGACTTCAAAAAAAGGAGGAGGTTCTCAATTCGACCCGTATGTTTTTTTTTTTTTTTTTTTTTTTTTTTTTTTTTTT